TGGCGTGTTGTTGTTGTCGGCGCCGGTCTCCCGGCGATTGACGCAATGCAACGCATGTCGTCCGACGATCTCTACCCGGCTGGCTTGGAACGAACGACGGATCAACACTATGGTACCGTCACACGCCCGCGACAACGCCTGCTCCGATTCGGGGGCGAATGGGGCGGCATCGTCTTCTAAACATGCCTGCACTTTGTCGACATTAGGCTCGGCCTTGACGCATTCGGTGATCCATCGTCGATGATCGTTCGATAAATGACGCTCCCATCCGGTGTGTTCTAACCATGGATTAGGCTCATACCGCGTCCGTTCGGTGCGGGCGTCTTCCTGCGCCTGCTGAAAATCGGCAAACAACTTCGCCATCCATGCCTTGCCTTGGGCGGCATGATCGATGTCTACGGCTGGGCCGGCATGGGGCACGACCTGGACGGGAAATACCTTTTGCCATTTGCCTGTACGGAACAAACGTTGGCATGGTTGGTTCGTTTCCCATGGTGGACGGTGGACGGCATCGAAATCCGGTCGGCCTTTTGCTCGGGTACTCTGATAATTATGCTGGTCCTTGCAATGCTTCTGAATGCCCGTGCGTTCGCGGTATGTGACATTGCATTCGCGGCCGTCGACGTTGAACACGCATCGATGTCCATTGGGATATACGGGAATGCCGGCGATGGGCGGACTACTCGCATCGGGATACTTAACCTTGTCGGGCGTCTGTGCGACATGGGGCAGACGCTGAACAAACGCTGCGATGTCGACTCGTTGCCGAACAGTGGTGCTCTTGTGTTTCTCTTGCAAATAGCCTTGAATATGGGCCGGGCTAACGGCATATTGACACTGCTTACAGATTATGACCTGGCAAGCCTGGTTATGTAAGAAGTATTTCTGAAATAGCTCCATGATGTTGTACCAAATGGCTGTACTATATGCACCTCGCATGCGCGCTGACAGCTATCGGCGTCGTGACATTCGCGACGCGAGCGTGTCTGTATACCCTAGCCAACCCCAAATTCCCGCGCAAACTTCATTTTTTTTGGGTTACTTCCAACCCCGACAACGACATACCAAACAACGTCGCAAAATTACGAGAACTATGTCCGTTTGATCGCCAAAATCTGCGCTTTTTTTGGGTACCCATCTGGAAATTATTAAACATTGGCATCCCTATGTGATCGACCCCATGTGATCGACCCCCTTAGGGTCCGTACCCGAACCAAATGTAGCTAGTAAATATATGTGATCGACTCCATCACAGCTGGAATTTGTGGATAGACATAGACATAGACATAGACATAGACATAGACATAGACGCGCTTCGCGCGTAACCCTAACTTTCCCCCAAACCAAAATATCCGTACCGAAAATAAACGATAGGAAACGCGGCGAAAACCGCGTAGCCGTAGATCTGAATAGTACCGAACAGGAATATGATGATTTGTGGATTGCCCAACTTATCAACGAGCACGGCGGCAACAAAGATCAGAAGAATTTCCTTGGAAAATCAGTCAATGAGACATGATCGCGGGCAACGCGGGCGAAGCATTTTACGTACGGCGCAACCGACGGTGACCGGGTATGTGTTGTAATCGCTGACGGAATAGCCTCGATTGTGGAGGAAGACGGTCATCCATCTGATCATCTCTGTGCCGCACGTAAATTCCTTGAAGCTTTGTACAATCGTGAGTCAAGGCGATGCTTCCCTCGGCCATCGGATGATCAAGCGGTATACACACCAGTATGCCAAAGGAAATATATAGTACTGCCACGAAGTGAAGATCCTCTTCAGGACCGATAATTCGAGGGTCGATTCAGAATCACGACCTTCGGTCTTGAGGCGGTGGATGGCGATCTCACGCTCTGTTTCGGTCATCCACCAAATCTTTTCGGAGCGCGGTTCATCTGTAGAGCCGAGTCGGTACATTAGGATGTCGCATTTCAAACGTTTTCTGCCTCAATGCAAGGGGCCCTTTGTTGCATCGAGAAAGACGTACCAGGGCACCCAATAATTCCAAAAATTGCCACAGGGATACTGATAATGGCATCGAGTATGAAAAGCCATTGCCAGGCAGCGATGGCGCCACGATCTCGAATGTTATTCACACTATGAGATTACGGCAAACGTCAGCACCGCCATACCATCAAATAGTGCCTGTAGGTAAATAATATATGGAGCAGTAAACATACAGGCCTGACTGGATTGGGCCTGAGAGCATTCCTCCAGCAATGGACGAGATAGTAAAGATGCCCGAGCGACGTGAAATCTCGGATTTGCGATACCAGCTTCCAATCTAGGAGACGTGTCAGAGGCGAAGGCTATAGGATGCTCAGATAGTCGCACGACTGACAATGTAATATGACCCTGGCTGGATTCCACTCGCGAAAAGGCCTGCGCAGAAGCTGAGACATCATCAGAATGCCGGTTTTTAAGATTGCGTCAGGAGCATGCCAATATACGACGGACCGGAGGCCATATAGTGCCTGGATATTCTCAGCCCTAAACATGGAGAGCACAAAAAGTGCCATGATAAGGGTGCTTCCCGGAAGCCAATACCTGGGAGGAACGACGGTGAGCCCAAACGTGAAGAACGGTGCCCCCACGATGACTTAGCCAGTCAGATAAGGTCTTACAGAGACATTCGGTGCACAAGCATGACTCACTTCCAATGTTGTAGTAAGTCGTCAACCAATTGAGTTCATTGTTGTCTAGACCTAGTTGTCAATCGGCAGGTCTCCCTAAAATCGAGTGCCTTTCGTATGTCGAAGTGTCCAACGCACCAATTTTGAGTGCCTGCTGCATGCCCGTGACAAAGGCGTTCGTAATCGAAGTTTGATCCTCGAATACCGTCAGCTGTGTTTTGTCGGTAGCCGGCTAGTCGGCGCAGGAGGATCTCACCAAGTACTTCACGAAGAATGACTTTTCCGCGATGCACTGTCAGTTCACTTCCCAGCAACGTTGATGAAGATCGACGCCCCTTACCAGGCAAGTGTACGACAATATGAAAACATCCAGCTTGAAAATGAGCCGCTTTTCCGCCTTGGTCGTGTTCGGCTCGTACCAATTCCACCATTGTGTCCTGCTCAAAAAATCGACGTCTGCACGACCTGACAACTGCGGACCACCAGCGACAGCAACTCCGTCACCAACGGCGGCGATGCTGGTAGACGTCTTTCTACACATCGTGGAGCTTTTTTTCAAGGCCTGTCTGGCTATGCGCGGATATGTGTGAGCCGGACTCGGATGTCGCGTAGGTAGTGCTCAGGTTTGACTCGATCAGATAAGGCATTTGATGGCGCTCAATAGAATTATTAAAGAGGCTTGACGTCGGCATACTCAGTGCAAGGTACGAACGTTCGCGCGTGTCGGGGAGAATTGCGATAACACCTGGGCATGCACTGGCTGATCCTCTATGACGTGAGCCTCGTGGAGTCAATAACGGCAACATCAACAAGCTTTGCCGTGTTCCAGTCATGACTGTTACTCGCAGGGCGGATATTGCGGACTTAGACTTGCATGGGCGACTGGCGCAATGGGGCGACGATATGCACCAAATTCATGACAACATGTCATACGCTCAGCAAGGTTGATGAAATGCTGCAACCAACATGGCGGGATGAGGGAGTTTTCGAGAACGAAGGACAGGAACGGAAACCTTGATGAACTTCGGGATGCGGCAAAGGCGGGAATGGTGTCTCGGCCCTGTCGCGTTAAACAGTGCACACATGCGTCGTATCTACCAACTTCTCTGCGTCATGGTACATATGATATCTCTAACTGAAGTGAACATACTGAGAGTGGGCTTCGTTTCAAATATTATCGATACGAACGTGATTGTGCGAAGACGAACATGTATGCGGACTGCGGAACCTCTGTTTCTTCGAAGGTACGGTCACGCGCTGCACTGCCACACTTTGGAACGCAGCCGCCATCTATTCGTCAATCATATATTCATTTTCCCTCCTGCACGATGGGTTTCACGAACACATTGAGCGATGGACCAATCTCATCGCTATGGGCTGGAAGACGCCTCCGATGGAGACGACGACATCGATATTTGGGATGTATCAGACGATGAAACTCCTGTCAGGCCGCAGAGCTCGACCGCCCAAGATTTGATCATCTCATATCCGCTCCAATATCAGCCCGATTGGCAAACAGGGTCGACCCTTCCGCACCACGAAATATATCGCGATCGTACCCTTCCGATTTGCAACGATGAAGGCCCTTATTTTCGACTACTGCGAATAAAACCGGGATCACCAGACGATGTCATACAGTGTATCCTCGAGAGTCGGCCGATGTACGAAGGGCTGTCCAGTTACAAAGCGCTGTCGTATTCATGGGGCGACGAGCCGTTCTCCGAAACTATCTATATCGGACGTAATTCACTTCAATTTTCTGTGTCTCCGCATGTTGCAGCAGCGCTACGACACTTGAGAGACCCGTGCCGGGCCGTTCATGTATGGATTGACGCCATTTGTATCAATCAAGGCGATCTACTCGAGAAGTCGCAACAGCTTTCCATCATGGCATCAATTTACAACCAGGCCGAGCAAGTGGTGATATGGCTGGGAGGCAATGGCGACTCGAATAATCAAAGCCTCGAAGACGAGGAAGTCATTTGGTCAATGTGCCAACAGTCACATGCGTGGTGGAATAGGCTATGGGTTGTCCAGGAGTGTGTATACGCGGAGAGATGTCCTGTCGTGATGTTGGGTGACCATACTATGTCTCTCGATTCGTGGATCCAAACTTGGACAGCAGTGATCCAGCGCATAGAAAAACGATCCGAAGACTCCCGAAAAAGGCGCCTCCGCAAGCATTGTGAGTTCTGGTGCGCGCCTCACAATGCTTGGATGTTGCAGGACAAAGACGATCCAGATCTTCACAACGCCTTACGCAAGTATTTGACCGAAGTTGACTTCCCTTACAATACTTGGACTACGCAGGACAAAGGTGGCTCGGATCTATTGAAGGTTCTGGAGAAGCATTTATGTGACTTTGATTTGCTCTGTAACGTTGCCGAAGGAACGGCAGAGGCAGACATGATCGCTCGTCTCATGACATATCTAAATACATCCAACCTCACTCCCACAGAGCATCTTGACAACAGATTCACCGATTGGCTCCAGAGCACAGCAGATTTCCTAACCGAATTGCACTATTTTCTGAAAGAACAAGCTCCGAATATTGTGCAAAGTTCAAGTCATTCCGAAGCTGTAAGCCAGCCGTATGAGAGAGGCTCAGAGCATTTCCGGCCTTTAGCAGGGCTGTTTTGGGGATTCAAGCATACTCACGCCATGAAAACAGTAAGAGACTACTTTTTGCTCTCGCGCCAGTCTTATCGGTCTTGGAGAACTCGGGATGGCGATAGTCTCAACCGCACCAAGATCCTGCAAGACAACCTTGTCTTCTTACGCATGCCGTATGATGCCTGGAAGACGCACACCGAAGATAATATACAACGATTACCGTTGCTGCTTCGGCTACGCCAAACTGCCGAACGACAGTGCAAAGTACCGCACGATAGAATATATGCAATCTTGAGCATTGTTGATCACAGGGAAGCCAGGTGGATCCCTCCGGATTATCGCAAGTCGTATTCGACATTGAGGACAGAAGTGAATAAGATTTTGAGATCTTCTCCACAGTGGGATGAGAAGAATGACCGTCATCTACTTGGCACCGAGCCAGATCAGGAGGGCGTCTCTTCGACGACCACAGAATCCCCACAGACCTATCCGCTCCTTTGGGTTGTCTGGAAGGCACCCTTCTTCCAAAGGTTAAGAGGAAATGCGACTTTGGCAATCTCGATGTCTATCAATACAGTGCGGCTATGGGTCCGGCACTTGCACGATTGGAGGGGAGGACAGACAAAATCGTGATCAATTATGCGGTACTTCGACTTGCCGCTGCCTGTGCAGGAACAAGAGAAGACCATGGCGATACCAGTTCACCGGGTGGACAGCTCTTGAGGTTGCTGGAAGAAATATCCAGTGGTCACTTAAATTGTGATGCGCGAAGGCACCCTTTACATTCCACCGGGACAGAGCTACCCTCTGTCGCGTACAGGACTGGAATTGTGACAAGCGCTGACTTTGTTGATAATAACTCCGGTGAGGGGCGAATCACACTTTCGTGAATCCTATGTGAGGTCTCCATTCTGAGGCATCGTCGACGTCCATCCAAACATGGCTTCAACACAGCTGTGCCCTACACATACCTTACATTCTCAACGTGTCCATACCGTACCTGCCGGCCCATGTGGCCGGTAATTTCACGCCTTGTCTCCCTTAAACAATACTTCCGCCTCTTTTAGGATATCTTCGCCGAACTCTGGGTGGTCCTTGCTCATGCCCGGATACGTCGATTCCATCATCTGGTTGAGCATCCCAGGCTTGTCATCGATTATCAGCCCTCCAGCCATGACATTCCGACCGTAGATTTCAGCCCAGATTTGACGGGCCTGTTTGCTGGTGGTATCCTTGGAAGAAACATTGTGCAGGAGCATGTACAGATATTGCTATTTTGAATGTATTAGCACCGACTCGCCGGCGGGTCGTCGATTTACGGATGGCCATGCCAGTGTGCGTCCAACGAAATCCCACATGAAATAGACTCTGTTCTTTGAATTTGCAGGTGTCATGTAAGTTTGTTGGAAGTTCGGCGCCATTGCTTCATGGTATGCCAGCTTCCGATACAGAGACTGCATTTTGAGGCAAGTGTCTTTCCATTCTGGATTCGCGTCGCTTGGAACGGGTACAGAAACGAGATTTTCTGTGAACTCTTTGCGAGTTACGACGTTCGGGTTCAGAGGTGTGAATTGCAAGGATTCCGGCATGTTGGCGATGTAATGATTCCAGGCGTGATGATTGTGATATTTTGATGATGAAGGAAAACAATGATGATATAGCGATCACCGCTCATCAATGGCACAATGGCTATAACGTGCGAATGGGAATCCCTGCGACACTCCCGAGACTCGCGTCTTCGCATCCCAATGATCGTCGATCGATGAGCTTTGGCATCACGGTGCAGCTTCTCTCGACGGTCAATGCCCACCTCTGGTGCAGGGCTCGGTCAGCCATCTCTCGGTACCCAGGCAGTCCGAGATAAAATCATTTCTGAGGAGCCGGTGAAGGTCTGGAGCCCTTGAGCGAGCTAGAGGCTTCATTTGAGCAAGTACGCGCACCTGAAGCGAGTACGCGTTCGCGAGTTGACCTCCGGGCAAAGTAAATAATGACGTCATACAGCGCTGTTCCGCAATGTATGCCCCAGGCACATTTTTGATGCTCAGAAATAGGTACGGAGTACCAAGGGCTGCGATATCCCGCGACACCCCCGTCAACATCTCCAGCCACCAAAATCCCCACGTAAAAGTTCCACCTGCAGTCAAGACAACTCATCCTCTGCAGAGCAACACAGCTAGCTCGCATGCATGTAAACCCGACGGCGCATGTACACGCATCGCACCAGCACAACAATTGGTGCCTCTCTTCCGGAGGGGCAGGGTGGGTATACTCTCCCCATGCTGTTTGCTGGCAGACCTCTGCGTTGTCAGCGACGTGATGTGTCTCGGCATCGGCCTCATCGGCAGATCAAGTGCATCGCAGCCCGCGAAGCCAATTCTGCAATGCTCCGGACGTGTTCGCTGGTGCACTTTGTGTTTCAGAAGTATTCTCATTTCGGATCTGAGGGAAGCTCTTCACTCTGTCCGGACAATGCATTCGTTGTTCTTCGCGCTCCTTCCTCCCATTACCGGCTCAAGACGTGCATGGTGTGTCGAGCATGACTTCGTGATCCTCCACGCGGATAAATCGACTGTCGGACTGTGACAAGATCTGCTTGCCGGCGAGGCTCATAATTTCCAGAAGCGATAGATGCACTTCGGCCGCCCCTGTAAACATCGGATGTGCGCAATCGTCAAGGCATCCACTGACCCGTCACACGAAGCACCGCTGCCCAAATCTACGCCGACACGCTGTCAACCACTACCCTCCTCAAATCTCAGCTCGCTGGTGCTCGTCTTCCATTCTTGCCCATCGTTCATTGATCATAGTCCTTGACGTCCTGCTGCCTGCAGCTGTGTATCATATTGAGAGCTACTCCCATCACCAACCTGGCTCGCGCCTGCTCACAAAAAGTCACAGGAGCTGCTTACTTTAACATGGGCCTCCACTAAACAAGAGCGAAATTTACAAATCAAGGCACGAGCGACGCCAGCCATGCCTGGCATAGATCCTTCACAGATACGGTTCGCACAATGGAAAGATCACCGATTAAGCGTACACCCTTCCCGTGCCAACCCTTCAGTACAACAACGGCCTTTGGTTGCACCCACATACGCACACCCATACTTACAATATTATAACACCCTCAGCGCAGCTAATGATGAAGGCGAGGTTTCCGAGGAAGACGCGGCAGCTGCAAAGGAAGCGAAGAGGCAAAGGAAGCGGGAGAGAAGGGCCAAGAAGGCGGGCATGTGTAAGCTCTCACCAATCTATGTATCTTCATCTAAACAGTTGTTGGCTGTGACTTGTTCGAGGTCGCCTCGTCTATTGGAAAGAAGCCTGCTGGTGCGACTCAGCTGACGTCTCTACAGCTGTCGAAGATTACGAGGCCATGCTGTCGTCTGCGGCAAATCCTTCCCCAGAGGAACCCGAAAAGAAGTCAGCGAATGTTGGAGAGGTTGCAGCACCAAGTTCTGGATCGCCTCCATTACCTGACAGTCCTGCTTCTCCTGGAACAGAGTCTCCATCAGTGCTGAAGGAACCGGCGCCACACGCGACAGGTGCTAGCTCAGACAACGCGACAAACGCATCAATCGAGCAAACTCAGGGATCAAAATCAGACAACCCTATCGTCACCATCGCTCCTGAAAAACCAGTCCAGGAGACCAGCGCCCCTCCCGAGAAGCTTGAGTCGGCGATCGATGATGGAGTGGGCGTGTCTCCCCCGCCGCAGACAGAGGAAACAAGTGTTGACGCCCCAGACTCACAACCAAAAGTTGACTCTCCGGCCCCTGACATGAAGAAAGATGCCCCTCCCAGTGAACCAGAAACAGTCTCGAGACAAGAAGAGACCATTGCATCAGAGATTGGTCAGATTCAGAGTGAGTTAACCACTTCAGCTGCAGTCGCAATTGCGCCCACCGGCACAGCAGCGTCACCCACAATGGCTCCAGCAATTCCGGTGCCAGCCACCTGTCCTGTTATCGCTACTTCGACTGCTCCGGAAGCCCAGACTTCGCATGATGAAAACCTTGCCCCTGTAGAAGCCCCTGTAGAAGCAATGCAGGACGATCCTGAGACCAAACCAGATTTTGCAGCAGACAAAGCATCAGCAGACAAAGCTTCCACAGCACAATTCGGAGCCCAGGCTGAGACAGCAGCTCCTTCTAATGACACTTTCTGCCCTTCACCCAACGATCTACCGACTGAAAGCCAAGCTGTTCAAGCTAGCACTGCTGATACCACGGTTAGCGGCACTAGCGATCCTGTGACAAATTCGCAAAAGTCCGCCGCTGATCCGGTACCTGCTCCATCTAGTACCGCAGAGGTAGAGTCCGAGAGTGTTACAGCACCCAAGATTGAGTCAGAAGAAGTAGATGCAGGCACCACAGCCCACGTTAGGAGTTCTGGAACCTCGGAGCAGCCACCAGTCGCAGAACCAGCACAGGTGTCTCAAGGGCCGGTCGAGGCAGAAGACAGTGGGCCAATTGCAGTCGAAATGACAGTACTGCCTTCAGAATCGAGTGTGTCAGAATCAATACCTGATCTAGAACCATCAACAACTACGGTCGACGCTCCAGATGAGACTTCTGCAAAGGCTCCTGAAGAGGTGGAAGTCGGACCCGTTACAACAACTACTCCTTCTGACGGAGGAGCGATGAAGGCAGAAACCCCGGCGTCTGTAGACTTGCCCAGAGGTGCTGAAGTCCCGGTGCTTGTAGACTTGTCAGAAAGCACTGTGCTAAGCGAAGACGCCGAACGGCCGACTCCTGATGGGAAAGCACTCGAAGAAGCAGGCGAGAAAGCAAAGATCACAGCTGACTCACCACAGGAGATCATGGCTCGACAAGAGTCTCTTAGACTGGACGTAAAACCTGTGGATGGAACAGAAGGCTCACCCTCGACTGAAGAGCGTCCCAGTACCCCTCTGTCGCCTTCATCAGCGCCTCGTGGTATTCTAAAGACTAGTCATAGCTCGACATCCTCAACTCTCTCATCTGCAAGCGATAGCTCGGAAGGTGACAAAAAGGCCGTGCAGTTCTCGCCTGGTACTCCTGAGCCGAAGATCACCCAACGGAAGAAGAAGGGTGTGAAGAACGTAAGCGGGAAGAACGCAAACGCGAAGAGCAGTAAGGCTAAAAGCAAGAAGCGAGTTACCATGAGCAAGGGACCATTTCCTATTGATGCAGTCCTCCCTGCAGCACTTGGTGCAGCGGCAATTGCTGTAGCCTCCCAGGCCGATGAAGGCGACGATGATACTTACCCCGGTCGCGATGACACAGAAGCTGATGGAAAGGACCTCGCTGGCTCTGACGAGCCTTCATCTCCAATCTCACAAACAGAACAGTTTGTCGAAAAGCCGGACACGGTCCAAGAATCGTTACAAGTTGTCTCGAATGAAACAGATTCTGCAGGCGATATCGCCTCGGGTGTCAACTGCAGATCAGAGGTTGCTCCATCTACTGCGTCTGCAATCGCAGTTGAGGCAGATTCGACGTTGAAGGCGGAGTCGGTTTCTGGTAGTGAGACTGCCGACGTTGCACCATTGCCAATCAAAGAGGATGATCCTCAGTCTGAATCTGAGGAAAAGCTGACTACCGATACGCCCGGTACCGTTTCGGCAGACCAGCCCGAGGATAAAAGCCAGGCGCCAACGTCAAGTCATGAAGCTACTGCCTCGCCGGATATTGTGAAGTCTGCAGACGAGCCGTCCAGCGCTAGCGGAGCTGAGCCACTCGACAAAACCAGCGCTGTAAGGACTCCGGAACTGACTGATGCTAGCAAGACTTCTTCCAGCCCTCCATCTGATGCACCAGGTGTCGTGCTCGCAGAACCTGCCGCGCTCTCATCCGAAGTTCCCATGACCAAAGAAAACGACGAGTCTAAGCCAGTCCCTACGGAGTCAACAGTCAGATCAGTCCCGGCTATCGAGCATTCTGCAAGTAAGATCATCGCGTCCGAGGCGAGTAGCGCTGCTTCTGAAAATCCAATATCTGTCTGCGAACAAAACGAAGTGATGGTCGAAGCTCAATCGGCGATGCCTTCTGTATCCGATTCTCCGGCAGCCATCACTTCGGCAACGACCAGTGAGACTCCGGATCTTTCCGAGACTGAGGCACCAGTAATTCCAGAGTCAGAGTCAACTATGGTGGTCGAGACGAAGCCTGCAAAGCCAGATCAGGTCATTGAAGACGCCCCCAAGACAGCGGAACCAGATCACAACATTGACGATATTACAAAGGCGGAAGAGGCTGTGGCTATAGATGCACCGGACAACGATCAAAGTTCGGCGCCAGTGCTGGACCAGTCCACCTGCGCTGTCGAAATTCCCTTACCATCAGCCTCCGCGACCGACACGAACCCGCAAGCTGATCAAGCTGTCGAAGTACGTGAGATTGATTCTGCAAAGTCTAGTGTTGTAGAGCCTCCTTCCACTGTCCACGAGGATGAGATGATTGCAGAGGCTGGAGAGCCTCAACCAGCGAGCATGCAAGCTTTGGACCCCGAGTGCAAGAGCGACACGCAGGAGCAGGCGCTCGATTTATGCAAGGCAGACAGAGTAGATCCTTCCCCGAGCTCGCGTAATACAACTGCTCATGGGCTGGGCTCC